TGTAAAACATAGTATACAGAGACAGTGAAATTGTAAAACATAGTATACAGAGACAGTGAAGCTGTAAAACATAGTATACAGAGACAGTGAAACTGTAAAACATAGTATACAGAGACAGTGAAGCTGTAAAACATAGTATACAGAGACAGTGAAATTGTAAAATAAAGTATATAGAGACAGTGAAGCTGTAAAACATAGTATACAGAGACAGTGAAACTGTAAAACATAGTATACAGAGACAGTGAAATTGTAAAACATAGTATACAGAGACAGTGAAATTGTAAAACATACTATTATATACCCAAGTGTGTATCACTCAATTCTACTGTAGATTTCGTACAATTACGTGACAGTGTGATCCGACTTTCTGGATCACCACACTATGGTTTTCTGAATCCATATCACCCCTCTCCGAAATCGATGACGTAGTACTCAGAAACATGATGTTATTTTTCATGTGCATCAAAAAGTTCCTTGACAAAATGCTTTGTTTAATGGAAAAATCTTATATAATTAATCTCAAAAGTTTTTTTTAAACTATATTTTGGTAGTTGTAAAGGGGGTATATAATAAATTTATCATTATAACAGTTACTTGATCCGAAGAGCCGTATCACGTCTCGTTGACAGGCGCGGATCATCAGATCAAACTCGACGCTTCGCGTCTCGTTTGATCTGATGATCCGCGCCTGTCAACTTGACGTGATACGGCTCTTCGGATCAAGTTACTGTTAAAATAATATATATGTATACAGAGACAGTGAAGCTGTAAAACATAGAATACAGAGACAGTGAAGCTGTAAAACATAGTATACAGAGACAGTGAAGCTGTAAAACATAGTATACAGAGACAGTGAAGCTGTAAAACATAGTATACAGAGACAGTGAAGCTGTAAAACATAGCATACAGAGACAGTGAAGCTGTAAAACATAGTATACAGAGACAGTGAAGCTGTAAAACATAGTATACAGAGACGGTGAAGCTGTAAAACATAGTATATGGATCGAGACAGAGAATATTTATGTATTTCTTCCTTTTTCTGGGAAAAATGACAATAATAGGATGTCATTCATCTACTTGAAGATTACAATAATGTGTTACTCACTTGAATAAGTTTTTCTGCAATTTCATTTGACTCTCGTGATAGAATTCTGAAAAATTGAGGCCAAAAGTACATCACACCTTTAAAATCTCAGAAATAAAAAAAAAAACTAAGGAGATGAATCTACACATGCTCTTTAAAATTTCTTCTGCATTGTTTACATACCCTATGGTTTTGGCAGCTGCAGCCTGTTGTACAAACACTGGTAAAGGTGCATTTATTTTAGGTACATCAGGATCTAAAAAATAAGAAAAAGGATTACATTTAGTACCCTTGTTCAAGTTATCCTACTTTCAGTGTTTTAATTCATTTCATTTAGGTGTGGCTACCTTCTTGTACGACCTCCAAATTCAATCAATGCATAAAAGAATTTTAGTTTGCACAGTAAATATAAACATATTTAGAACAAAAAAAAATGTAAATCACATAAGCATATTCTTGGGAATGTGTGTGGATGGAGGGGGTGTTTGGAGTTCTGGACCAAGAATTACTACCTTCAAGAATTTCTGGTCTTTTGACCATTTCTTCCTTTGAGGGCCTCAGAAGAGAGACCAGTTTCTGTAGGATAGTGTCAGATACTTCATACTCCATCAGCTCTTTTATCAATTCAATAGCTGCAAAACAATTACATGTAGGTATACAGTGTAACTATTCTAAGTTGTGTCAAGATTAATTTTCTCTCTCCAATTTACAAGGTTTTTCTGACCCTTTTAAAAAAGTCAATAATGCTGCACTACATTTGTTATATATTTAAGTCAGTTAAAAGACATTTAAAATTTCTCACTATTTTTTTTTTGGTAGCTAAATACATGTACAATGTTTATATAAATATACATGTAACAAGCTGTGTTTTATTATCTTATTTACTTTGGGTGCAGATGAGTTACACTAACTGAATGCTCAACAGATAAATTTCATTCATATAATTTAGCACTGAATGATCATTTTTCACATTGGAATATACCATACTGGTGTTTACAAATTGAATAATGTACAAATAGCCAATGGAACTTCTTTTATGTCTACATTTATTCAGACTGTTAATAACTGCCCTTTTTTTCTTTTTAGTTTCTATTTGTACATGTAGTACCATATCTCTCCATTAATTTTACACATTACTCATATCATGAAGAAAAAATTCTAAACTTGTAGCAGCAAACCTTTAAATTATATATTTAAACCTTACCTTCAAACTGAACTTCAAGATGTAGTGTTTTAAGGAGGTTCAGCAATGGCTCTACAATATTTGGGTTTGCATTCTTTACCACTGGCTGTAAATATATGAGGCCATCATTAAAAATTTGTTTGATTGATGTACGCTGACTCATATTTTTCAAGGTGGGTAGGTACATTGTAGGTAGGTTTTTAATATCTTTTAATTATCTAACACAAATAAATGCTATGAAAATCACAGATTTACTCATTTATTCCCCCATGGCCATGGCTTACCTAAATTACATCAACATAGTTTAGATGTTTGTAAAATACAGCAAAACAATATACAATTATGGACTCTTTTGGTGGTATTCACCACAGAGAGAGTCCATAATTGTTTTATTATATAGTCAGTATTTGAATAAATAAGACATTGAAGGCTGCACGACGTTACCATTTTCATTAACGAACCTCTGTCGTGGAAAAATTTTAAAAAATGTCCAGATTGCAACTTATAACTTCTGTATTTTCCTTTTGCTGTGTGTAAGATATCGAAATATCTGTAAAATAATCCTGCGATAGATTTGCGTAACATTTTTCTTGCTCAGATACACAGCTGGATCCTGCCTTTACAACCATTGTTTTCAACATTATTTGAGGTATTGATTTTGACATCACAATGCCGCTGCAATCCTACTGACCCTCCGGTGAATACGGCTTCAAATCCAGTGAATATGTACTTATTATGAACTATTTGCATAGATTATATAGGGACTATTTATAGACTATATAATAAAAAAACATATGGAACTTAAAGTTTAAAAGCAAGTCGTATGATCTGTATTTTCCCAGAATGAAAAAAAAAATTAAAGTACTAGGGAAGAAAAGTGCAGCAATTTTGATTGGTCGGTCAGAGTACATCAAACAATACATTTTTTATTGTTGGCCTGAGTTATCATATTCATTAAAGCAAATGTTGTGGTCCATGGAGGGATTTTGTATGTACATGTAATATATTAGTTTGTGAAGTTTCTCCATTGTTCTTTATATTTAAATAATTTTTATTTTAAAAAACTTTGCCTGTATGACTCGGAGAGATTGTGCTGCCATCTGTTGGGCTTTAGGTGAACTACATGGCAAGAGTGCAATAAGTCCTTTGTACACTTGAACTTCAAACTTCGGGTTTCCTTGTGCCAGCATAAGTAAGATATTTCTGCAAGCATCCTGTGTCTCCTCAGATTTTGATTTAGCTAAGCATTCTGCAACTGCTCTTATTCCTACCCAAATATTAAATTCAGATATGTTTAATTATAAAAAATGCATGCGTTGTCTATTTTTTTAAAATAAATATTACGAAAATAAAAATATAATTAGTTTCTTAATAAGTTTATGTAAAAAATGATGTGTAAAAAAAATTGAAAAAAAAAGCATTATTTATTTACCACATTCATGTTTATTATTAGTTTTTTCATAAGCTTACCATAACTCTCACACACTAGTTCTTTATATTTTCTCCCAGCATTAGCAATGCAGATTAAACAGTTCAGTGCTTGTAACTTGTCTGCTTCCTTCGCTTGTTTTAATCCAATAATCTCTAAAAGTGTCAGGACTCCTCCAACTTCAAGAAATTCTGCCATGTATTTGTGTCTAAATTAAAGAAAAAGAAAATTAAACAAGAATAATATTTATAAAACAGGATAAAGCTAAAAAGACTTGTATTTTTAAAAAAAACTCTGTAACTATATTCACCTACCCACTTGATGCAGATAAAAATATTGAGATTGCTCTGAGTTGTTCATTTAAACAGGTTCCAATCATGTATCTGTTTTGAAGTTAAGTTCGCAATAATTCATTTGAAACTTTTTGCATTAATTAACATTCATTTAATCCTTTCTGACATGAACACAAAATATCTATTGCTACAAAGAATGGAGACAAGATAGAGACACTCTGTATAAGTCCAAATTGATAAAACTTTTTTCTCATGTCACTAAAGTCTTACTAATATCTGGATATATCTTATATAAAATACATTCAGTGGCAAGATGGTTTACTGTTTCACTTATTCAAAATCAGACAGACGGGTAAAAAGAAACATAAACCAGATTGTATACAGGACGGAAATGCACACTTAAAAGGAGTGGTAACCTATAAATTGAGGAATCATGAACCATATAACCGTACATGTTAAAATTTAACAAATGAGTTGGGATTCAAAAGCATTTCAGTGTGGTAAAAGAAAGTCAATTATCTATAAAATAACAAAGTACATATTTTAGAAAATCAAAACGAGAGAGAGAGAGAGAGAGAAGCAATGACAAATATTTCTGTAAAACAGTTTTGTCATAAGGATACGTCAATCTAAGCCATGCTGTAAGTCGTGTCAGAAATAAACTGGCGGCCTGTGCAAATTCTTGTTCCAGTTCTGGCCCTGTTTTATGTTGATTTTGTGCAATAAAATCTTGTAGAATTTTCTGTCTCACAACTTTACTGCCTTTATCCCATTCCTGCAGAAGTCCCATGATTTTTGAAATAGCTGACTGTTGTTTTGCAGATCCCATCTTCTTCACAAATGTTGTTAAAAATATAGCTAAAGGATAAAGGTATAAAAGAATAAAAATTCTCTGTTCAAATCAAAAGGTAAAAATTGTTGTTTACATGTTGCTAATCGCCATTACACTGTCCGTGATAAAACACGATCTTTCATTGGTTAGTGGCAAATATCTCATCCAATCACGAGAGACGTTATGAGTCGATAAATAATTCAGCGGACGAAAACATGGAGGACGACGACATAGAATACGATATAACTTTTCCATCGCCCAGTGCGGGGATAGATGACAGTGATGAGATGCTCGATGATTATGTCATCGAAGGAGAATCGAAAGAACCGGTTATAATTCTCATTGGATGGGCTGGATGCAAACCAAAACACCTTACAAAATATTGCAAGATTTATGAAAAAAGGTCAGTCTCCTTATGCATAATATGCAAAACTATTTTCGTTATCTTCCACAAAGTTTAGATTTTGCATTGTATCAGAATATGAAAGTTATATAAAATGTCAGTCTAGGGCATTAGTAATGATAAAATATAGCTGAACTATGAAATATAGAGGCATGAAACGATCAAGCATAGTTGTTACACATCGAACTATATATATATATTCCCAAAAAAAGGAAGGAAAAGACTGGTTTTACATAATAGGAAAGAAAAGATTGTGGCTTTACTTTACACATTTTTCATGCTAAATGAAAAAAATAAATCAGTAGCTGCAAAAGTTAATAAGCTCAAATTGCTTGCCGCTGAAATTCTTTATTGATTGTCATTTATTATCAGTTTTATTCAATTACATTTTGTAGCTACTGCATGATTTCTGCTTTTCTCATGACTTCAGATTTGATATTTTGCAATCAGTTTTGATATTTCATATAGCAGACTGTCATCCTGGTTGGAGGAGTTGTGAATTCTCTTTCTCTTCTATTTTTAAATGAAAATTTGTACTGAATGTTTTTTTCATACAGGCTTTAACTCACATTTCAGTTCAGTAAAATTCCAAAGAAATGCCTGTTGGAATGGAGAAGACAAAAATTTTGAGGAATAAAAAGAAATAAAAGTACATATATATAGTCGTACAAAAGTTGTAATGCTTTTTTTCAAATCTCTCATGTTATACAATATTTTCTATTTCAATCAAGGTGCATTACCATCCAGTATATCCCACCAACTGATGTTTCATACGTGAAGCCCAAACTGATGACAAACCTGGCCAAGAAAGTTCTAGATCTCATCAAGGACTTCAACCTTGAAGCCAACCCAATCTTCTTTCACATCTTCAGCAACAATGGGAGCTTCATGTACACAGAGATCACAAAACTGCTGACTTCTCCAGGAAACAAGTACAGAAATCTGCAGGTCAAAGGTACCATCATAGACAGTGCCCCAGGTAAGAGGAGAGTCATGAGAGCTGCCTGGGCATTTGCCATAGCATCTGGACAGAGAGGATTAGCACGTTACATAGCGTATATTGGAATGATGTTTTACCTGGTGATCCTGCGTGTGTATCTTTTCTTCCTGATGCTTTTTAGTGGGGATAATTCAGCTAATCCAAATCACGTCTACAATGACATCAAAGAAGACAAAACGAGGTGGCCCCAGCTCTTCATCTTCTCAGATGCAGACAAGGTCATCCCTGCATCAGACATCACAGAAATCGCAGAGTACAGACGGGATCGGTTTGGGGTGACAGTTGATACCCTACAATTTGAGGATACAGATCATGTGGCCCATTTTAAGGATCACCCTGAGGCTTATACCTTAAAATGCAACACATTCCTAGACAAATGTCTGAAGGGTAACAGAGATGTTGAATGTATAGAAAAAGAAATTCCAGATCAGTAAATCACTCATGCTAAAGGTTTCAAATACCGGTATTTAATTTTTGAGAAGTTTTACTGCAAAAAAAAAAAATTAATATGAAATATTACTTTCACAGAAGATGCAACACTGAACAGCTTTGGTTCAATCAGTGGATATATATTCGGTAGTTATGCATAAGTAAATGCTTAAAACAGAATGACTTTCACATAGAAAGTGGACCACTCAACAATAAAAATATATTTTATTTTGGCTAACACTGAGTGACACAGTCCAGGCCATAACTTTAAAACTCATGATAAAAATTTAGTTTTAATATTATAAACAAAATGTATTGCCATTTAAAGATTTCACAGCTTTAGAAATATAGCTCTGAGGCTGGTAGAGTGGCATTAAAGAGACTTGGCTAAATTTAGTATTTAGTACATGTCTGTTGATCAATTAAATTGTACCGCAGTGAATGTGTACAATATGTTGCAGTTTGCCGTTATGTTTTTAAAATTTTATGTGTACTGTGTGTTCCAAAGTTTTGTTTTTAGATGTTTATGACTTTGCATTTATGATCAAGGACCTATAATGACAGAATTAATACATTGCATGCATTTAAGGGGACATTGTTTTTGACTGTCTTACTGCCTAATGATGATTTGTAGTAAAATGTTTACCAGGGTATTGCTTGAAACATTTTTAGCATTTATTTGCATTTTGTGAAATAATGAATTTTCTGTGTGAAATTCTCTGAAAGTGAGATACATGTCTGCTAATTATTTTCAAAGGCTTTTTTTTAAGCATTCCTTATTAGTGTTGGCTACTTCACTCATACACATTTTCATGCATCATCTATCAAATGAAATTTATTTTTAGATGGTATATTGCAAAATATTAGGTTTATATTTTATGTACATTATGATATTATTTGTACCGCATAGGTGTATTGATGTACGTTGTTATAATGGATTAATTCTTTAGTCCACGTTAATAATGTACTTCACATAAAGAAAGGTGCTACCACTTGCTGTTGTATTAAAGACCTGGCCCCGGGATCATGAAACATCTTCAGCTTACGTCAATAGACAAGCAGATCAAAATTAAAATATTTTTCAATATTGCTTTACAAAAGTGTTGTTATCTGCAAATTTAAAGATTGATTCAACAATTAAGAGCATTTTACAAGCGATTAAAAATTTGACTTAAACCTGTCTGTTTTATGATCCTGGGGCCTGATTTATCCAATTCAAACGTAGAAAATGTACTAATTTCTTTCAAGCAGAGTGATTTCAAAGAATTAAGCTTTTTTGTTGACTGGATGTTTGAATGACTGAAAACATAAGATATACTTTTTGATAATTTTAACGATAAATACCACAACATAATAAATAATTATAATTCTCTCTCGCTCTCTCTCTTTCTCTGTATATGTTTACACAATTATTTGAATCTCTAATGTTAATGTATACACATGTACTTGAAACCCAGATTTGTCCATCCACTGCTCAAAAAAATTGCTTCTGCATTTTTCCGTGTTAGCTCAGTTTTACCGGTAATCTCTTTAATACTGTATATTATTTTTTTTTTTCAATATTTACAGACATCATCAAAGTACCACTTCAAAATTTTTAAAACTCACTGTCATTTACTCTTGTAGAGTTTAACGTGGCTATACTTCAGAAATTATTATTTTTAATCTATGTATATACAACTAAACTGCATAGAAACAAAGAACTGTATAATGAGGTGTCCCTCTCAACAGGATTTTATACCATGATTTTGCATAGAGATAATTAAATTACACTTTATATTGAGTTCAATCTAAACAGTATTTTCTGAATTTATATTGTGTGGAATTCCACATTTTCACATTATGAGAAATCACACATCCACCATATTTTTTTGTTTATGATGAAGACATATTGCTTGGTGTTTGTTAGGAATTATACAAATCAATAAAAGAAATTGTAGAATTTTTTCCTAGTGTTGTCCGTTTCTGTTGTATAAATTTGACATGTCCATTCTTTCATAGTCCAACATTGACCAATATTTGAACTTTAGAGAACAAGAAAAAATAAAAATACCTTTCAGTATAACAAACAAGATTTAATAAAAATCATGTTTTTTTTTTTTAAAACGAATACTTGTACTCTAGTTAAAAAAAACAACAACAACTCACAATTCCGTAAAAATATTAAAAAAATGTGATATTAAATTGAGTCGATATATTCAGGTAAAATGCTTGATATGTTTTCCAAATTTACCTTTGTGTCAGATTCACAATTCTGTCACATAATCCCTGATATTAAATGTGTGTCTATCCATTATTAGTTGTCAATATTCCAACTTGTGTCTTTTTGATCCCTGAGCTTTTTGTCAATCGGAAGTATAGATAATAAAGTAAAAACCAGTTCCAGGTTGAATAAAAATCTAAAACCACAGGAGATTTTTTTTTTGTAATGCTTTTACCTAATTTTAATGGTTTTTACACCTTTTCGGGCTTTTTGTGTGCTGATTAATGTAACATAACAATTTCAACATTATTACTCCACTAAATGTAATTCATTATACAATCACAGGAAAAATGCTATTTTAAAATAGGATCTGTTTTCTCAAAGATTTAATTATTTCAAATTTTGGCTCGATCTTCCATCTGTACTAATCTGCACTCATACATTTTAAACATGTCATATCACAAGGCATTGAAATACAAAGTGGAATATAAACAATTTATTCAATGATATCCACTGGATACTGAGGTAAACTCGTGATTAATACATGTATATAAAAACAATACATTAAAAAGGTAAAATTGTGTCCATATATTCGGGTAAAAATGCTTGTCAATGATATGTTTTACACTGATTTATCAGACGAACCCCATTATCTCAAACCTGAAGGGATGAAGAAAAACATATATCCAATGATTTAAGATATCGAGATTAAAATACATTAAGAAAAAGCAGTTCAGACTTAAACATCACTTCAACATATCCAGGGTATTTGAAATATCAAAGTTTGAAATAATGAAGTTCAACTGTATTTGATTAATTAATGTATGATTAGAACAAAACATGTAGAAGCTTGCTGACCAGTTGATGGAGATTGTACTAAATTTTGAGCACGCCAAGAGCAAGGTTCACAATGGGTTTTTTTGGCCCTGTGAATTTCTGAAAAAAATCAGAACTGCTCAGGTGCCCTTTGTGACTGCATATCTCTCGTACATGATGCAACTCTCTCACTAGTTAATGTATTATGACTTCATAAATTGTGTAGTTATTCCCATATCCTGAAAAGGAACACTTCTTTTATAAATGGGGATCTGACCTATAGGGCCACGGTTGAGTTTCACAGAGTGAATAATTCTTGTCCTTGAAAAAAGTGTGCTATACTGAAGTGTACATGTAGTTCCACTTGACTATTACAATGCAATTTACAATTTTTAACAGAAAACTTCCCAAAATTCCCATATCCTGAAAAGGAACACTTTTTATAAATGGGGATGTGACCTATAGGGCCGGGATTGAGCAACACATATTGAATAATTTTTGTCCTTAAAGAAAGTGTGCTATACTGAAGTGTAGTTCCACTTGACTGTGTTTTAGTTACAATGAAATTCACAATTTTTAACAGAAAACTTCAGCGCTCCACACTTGTCCACTGCTTGAACAAAGTTTCGTCACTCTTGGAATCAAACTTGGGAATAAAATCAATCTGCACTATGTCAGAGAATCCCTCTTTCTTTGTTGGAGCACTGAATCCCTTTTTATACACATTGTAGCCCACCTCTGGTATTCTCCGCACCTCTCCATTGGTCTGATTTTGTCGGACATAGTTCATATGCTTGGCAAGTTCCACTGGTGTATTCATCACAAAACATCGACACTGTATACCTACAATTATATAAAGCAAACAAGAATTACCTCCCTTCTGTGACTACCAATAAAATCTTCAGTACATTAACAATCTAATTAAAATTAGACTTGTATTTTCGCTCCTCTACTATACGCTTCAATACAAGATGCATATAGTAGAGGAGTGAAAATACAAGTCTAATTTTAATTAGATTGAGTACATTAATGGCTACAAAGATTAATTTAGCAGACAAATTGAGCTTTAACATTACAACTTTCTGTTACCTTGTTTCTTTGCTAACTGGGTAAAGGGTTGCCTGGCATCTTCTCTTGGGTTCGTGTTATCAACAATCACACTCTTTCCTTTAGAAAGAGCTTCTTTACAAGCCTGCAGGTAAAAATGAGAAAGTATTTAAACTTTAGAACTACAACTGTATATCTGATGATTAAAATCTTGATGAGGCACATATAAAATACTGAATGGTCAACTTGTTAAATCGCTAACAGTGTGGTTCAAAGAGTGAACCATTGTACAGTGAAGGCTATTTTTCCTGCTCAAAATGATATTCAAATTTTCACAAGTTGGCAAAATTTCAGTAAAATGATTATAATAATGATATTGAAATTTAGCTTTTAAAAAATAGCTTCATTTAAATCCTTCCTCTAAAGTATAGTATTTATAAAATTAATACAGTATTTCCATAAAAATTACTTTTATATATGTTTTCAATGTCCCTGATGGTTTTTTTTCTCTTTTTTTTTATACTGAAATCAAACAAGTGAAATTAAAAAGATTAGTCATGGATTATTATAAATTATTACTTATTGTCTGACCTTTAAGCACTTGTCCATGGTTCCTAAGGTATCCCTGTTTATCGCTGTGTAACCATGGGGCTCAAAATACCTCTTCCTAAATGTGCTTTTTCCAGACGCCGGACAACCGACCATCATCACTAGTTCTTGGGTCTGCGAATGATGAATAATTCATTAATTATGTTTTAAAATAGCATTTTTCCATACCTTTACTGTAAGTTCAAGTACCATTCCTTTAATAATTTAATTTGCTGCAAATTTGCTAAACCTTGAAGCAAACACAACAGTACATGCTATAAATAAATTGATACTTAATCTTAGTTATGAAATAAAATACAAGGAATCTTGATGATTTATGTACCAATTTGTGTATATATACAACTTTCACAACATATACCTCAGAACTTACTCTTTACCTTGGCTATAAAGTCCTTGCTCCCTGGTGGAGGTTTGTTGTTCTTTAGATACTGGTTTGGATCTGGACAGCCCCACTCAAATGGTGGAGGTTTCTCACCAAGGAAAAACTCCTCTGGGGTGGCAAAACCTGACAATATCAATTTACAGTGCATTTGAAAAAGGATTTATGAAAACAATATGTTTTTACAGTCAATCACACGTATTTGTATAACATGTTAGAAATGCTCAGACATGTACAGTTTGAAACTTATCAATACATACAGCTAACAACTGTGTTCTAGAGATTCAGACACTGAATTTCATATCAGAGAAAATATTCAATGGCCTACCTATACCAATATTGGCTGCAAACTTGCGGTCACTACAGGAGAAATCTTTGGGTTTCCCTGGGGCCCAGTCCTTTGCTCTGCCAGCAGCATCTCCTACATACTTACACTTACTCAGATCAACCTGTTTATGTAAAGAAACTAAACATTACTATAAATATTAAAGTTATCGTCTTTTATAACATTCACAATTGTCTAATTTTAGCAAGTATTTCATAATTTCTAATGTTTTTAATTTCATGCATAAAGGTCAGTTTGCTGACCATGCAAAATTTTCACTTACTTTCACACCTCCATTTGCATTTTCTACAAAGAAGTCCCACATAGCTGTGCTGGGTTTTCTATAATGGTTGTTTCCAGTACACACAAAACACTACAAAATCAAAAATATCATTAGTACAAGCAAACACCTTACTGCATGCATATTTATCTTTCTTTCTTACAAAATAACACTTTACTAGTGTTTAAATGTGATAAAAAGAATCTCCCATCATTTGTGGTTAGTTATGATTTTTATCCAACTCATTATAATTGTTTTTTATCCCGTCGTCAAGGCTCAGGGATAAAAAGAAAAAAAAACAACTTGTTGGATAAAAGTCATATCCAACCATAAATCATGGGAGATCCTACATATACATCATGTGCCCGTTATTTTTTCTCACCAGTACTGGGATGGCCAGCTCTGCAATCATGTCCTCCACCTTCTTCATGATGTCTTCTGGTTTGGCTTTGAGTTTTTCTATGCCTGCCTGATTGGTGAAGAAAATCACTCTGTAACCTTGGGCATTAAGATCCCTCAGCTTCTGAGGGACACATTCATCCCACCACTCCCAGTCACTAGACCCTAGAAGAGATTTTTTTTTTGAGTATTTTTTTTTTAAAATACACAATATTAAATGCCTATCAGTTGCAATATCTAAATTAGTCCAGCAGTATTTTAAAATTAAATTAAATTAAATTAAATTTAATTTAAATTCAGCAGAACCAAGGATTTCAAAAATGCTCCTGTTTTAGAAAATATTCCTGTTTATCTTTCATGCTTCATTTATTGGATTGCATTTATATCTTCTGCCAGAAATTCTGGATGATTTCTGTAAATCCTATTTATCAGGAATTAATACAAAGTGATCTACATTTTCCTACAGACAGATCAGTTTTTGTATAAGGTGTCCCTGAACAGTGAAGGTGTCTGGCATGCAATAATTATTCAAAAGAAAAGTTTGGTTGGTGTCTGCTATGTCTGGATTATCTTTTTCCTTCATACAAGTTCTATTCTAGTGGCCTATATCCAGGCTTTATGCATGTTCACTTTTAGTATCATGTTACTCAAATGCTATTACCTTGTGCAAACTTTCTTCCACTTGCAGTTTTAATGACAGTGAAGTCGATGTCAAACCCCACCACTTTTTCTGACCCTGGAAGGGTTGGCGACGTTAAAGCCATCAGAGGACACACCCCTTTCATCACCTCTCCGTGTTGGGACCATTTTAGCCCGTCACTGAGATCCGTCTCCCCTCGGGCCCTCTTAGCCTTCGTCTCGGCTGCTTCTGCTGCTTTCCTTTTCGTACCTGTGCGTTTGCTCATGGTGAATTATTAGTCTGTTTGTCAAATATTTTTCTTCCTTCCTTTATACTGTCGATCTTACTATCTTTAGATATTAGGTATATATATTCTCAAGCGTGTACCTGCTCGCATCCAGGTGTAAAATGTGTGGGAGTTATCCTTCTTTTCCTTCCTGAACGACATGAAGACAGACTGAGAATCCACTCAAACAGACTTAAAATCTATACTGTTGCTGTAAATTTATAAAGCCCCACCCTAACCCCAAAGTCCATGATTTGAACATTTTACAATACCTACATGCCAACAGATTAGCTGCCACATGAGTTCCAGTAGTTTCTTAAAAGATTTTTCCTATATATTTTTTAATGTGAAAGTGAGATCCTTTATTGTGGCCCCCACCTTATCCCCAGGGTCCATGATTTGAACGATTTACAATCTACATTATATCTGGAAGCTTTCAATTTTCATATAAGTTTATCTTTTCTTATCCAATGGTTCTTAGGAAGAAGATTTTTAAAGATTCTTCCTAAGTATTTCCATATTAAATTTTGATCCCTTACTGTGACCCCGCGCTACCCTCGGAGACCATGATTTTGGTCGATTTAGAATCTATACTTCCTCAGAAAGCCTTCACTTAAATTTAAGCTCTTCTAGTCCATTGGTTCGCTCCCATAGAACGGGGGGAGGGGGGCACCCACTTTTTTCTGAGTATACCGTGTAGTATTTTCCTTTAGATGCTGGATGAATCCCACCCCACCCACTTTTTGTTGCTGTAAGGTCGAGCCACTGGCAAAATCCAGAATTTCGGTGTCAGTTAATTTTTTTTAGCCCACTTTATACACAGAGTCCATGATTTTAACAATACACAATCTACATTATGCCCGGAAGCTTTCACTCCAGTCTTATCTTTTCTAGCCCAAAGATTCTTGAGAAGACGATTTTAAAGATTTTTCTTAGGTTTCAATATAAAATTTTTGATCCCCTATTGTGTCCCATCTTACTCCCGGGAGTTATAATTTGAACAATTTAGAATCGGAATTTCCTTTGGAAGCTTCCACATAAGTTTCCCCTTTCTGACACAGTGATTTCTTGAGAAGAATTTTTTTTTTAATGTAAAATATTCATTCCTCTCTTGTGGCCCCACCCTAACCCTTCGAAATCATGATTTGAATAATTTAGAATCTACAGTTTTTCAGAAAGTTTCCACACGAGTCTCACGTTCTCTAGCGCATTGATTCTTGAGAAGAAGATTTTTAAAGATTTTCCTATATAATTTCAATGTAAAAATTTCATCCCCTATTGTGGCCCCACCCTTACCCCGGAGGCCATGATTTGATCAATTTTTAATCTACACTTCCTCAAGTAGCTTCCACCTTTCCTGGACAAATGATTCTTGAGGAGAAGATTTTTTAAAAAGATTTTTCTTAAACATTTCAGTGTAAAACTTTCATCCCATGTTGTGCCCCATCTTACCCCCGGGGGTCATGATTTGAACAACTGAGAACTTACACTTTCTTAGAAACTTCTACTTAAGTTTCACTTTTTGTTGCCCAGTGGTTCTTGATGAGAAGATTTTTCAATGACCCCACCATATTTTTTGCCTTTTCTTGATAATCTGCCCTTAGAAGGAGACTTGGCCATTGATTTGTACAATTAATTAAGGTTTCCCTTAACCCACGGATGCTTTGTGCAAACTAAGGTTAAAATTGGCCCAGAATTCTTGAGAAGAAGACGAAAATTTGAAAAGTTTACAGACAGACGGAGCTTTCAGCTCAGGTGAGCTATAAAAGAGGAAATCATGTTGTGCAAAAGAAGACATTTCTATCGTGCGAACGACATAATAAGTCGTGCGAACGAGATGTTACTGTCGTGCGAACAAGATATTATGTCGTGTAAACGAGATAATATCTCGTGCGAACGAAATAACTAGTGCGAACGAGATAAAAGGTCGTGCAAACGTCTTATGTCTTACGAACGAGATAATATTTTCAAACATAAGAAGTAAAAAAAAAATTTGTAGTACTAACTAACGGGAACCGTTCTAGATGCCCCCCCCCCCCAAACAGTTCCTCTACTCCCATGTGCCCCTTTCCCTACAAGCTTCAATGACTGAATTAGGCAATATTTTTGTATGATAAAATCTTCACTTATTTACCGAAGTACATATTTCGGATCACAACGCAGGTGTAGCCGTATATTTCTTTGAACGCAAATGCGTGCTTTGTTACAACGTGAAATGTAATAACAACGCAAAATGTAATAAACTAGGATTGTTACATTGTTATTGTGTTATTACATTTTGCGTCGAGATCAACGCAGAATGTAATAACGCAAAATATAATAACACGATTTTTGGGATTATTACATTTTGCGTTGGGGTTAACGCAAAATGTAATAAGGCACTGTTTGGTTGTTACATTTTGCGTTACTTGATTTTTGCGGTGAGGACAACGCAAAATGTAATAAAACAAAATATAATTATTTTTTTTGTATTGTGTTCAACGCGAAACATTAATCTCGATGCAAAATGTACCAACGCAAAATGTAATAATCCAAAAATCGTGTTATTACATTTTGCTTTATTACATTTTACGTTGATCTCGACGCAAAATGTAATAACGCAAAATGTAATAATCCGAAGAAATTTTGTTTAAGTCGTATGAGAACATCATTCAATATTTGCATGTCCTAAATATACCACCTTTGTAGATGAGTTCAAGACAATTTCTTTCTTTTTTTTCCATTAACCCTGTTTTGATATTTATTTTTTATCATTAGCGTTGGAAGCAAATTGAAAAGAGGGCTAAACCAACAAAAAAAGCCCCAATCTTCAATGCCTATATTATATATGTCTTTGCAAAAAAGGGGAGGGGGCTAAGTCCCCCCCCCCCTACCCCGGTTATGCCTTTAAAAAAGTTTATTTATACTACACCTATTTAAGTCGGATTATGACAGTGTCTCTGAATTTGCCTCAGATTTGATGGGGAAAATATGGTCTTTTCTTTAGATACCTATACACATAAAATTTTTGTATTTATAGTATATTATACTCATGCAGTGAGTTCAAACTTTAAAAACATGATAACATAAATATGTTGTTACTTTTGAATTTATAGGATATGGGGGTTAAAACTAAATTTACGGCATGATAAATGTAAAAACATTGAATTTATCATGCATGATATGTTCTAATTTTCTTTTTCTCAAGTATAAAACTTTTTCAATGAGATTTTAAGGGATTCCACTTCTACAAAACCATTGGTTATGAAAACTGGGGAAAAGGGGAAATGAAAGAAGTGGTTTTTTGTCTTATCGGCTGATCTCAACTACTTTCTCCGAAACACAATAACTTTCGGTGGGACACTCAAGAAAAGCTGAGAAAAGATTAAATACAACTCTTGAGTTATGCATCTCTTTCTCTCTCTCTCTCTCCCTCTCTCTTCTTCATTAATGCAATATGTCACACAGACAAAAACCAACAAAACCAAATTCATCAACCTGTAACTTTGTTCACAAAAACAAAAGAATTTAAAAGACAGTTTAATGCAGCGGAAGAGGATGCGATGTTTTCTCTCGATACCGGGATATCTGATACCCAGGGGTGAGGATCTTTGACACTATTACACCTGTATGCATGGGTGCCATTTCTTTCTCAAAGGTAGCATATCAACTACCTACCGCACAATACCTTCTTTTCTTCCAGCACTAGATGGTCTGACAGAACTTGAAGGTATAGCGGCCATCTACCTTTGTGACGAAAGCTAGTTTGATCTTACTATCTCTTATGTCGTGTCGTGATGTAATTTTTACAGAATGCGGAACACAGATTACCCCGATTTTTGTGCTCCTGGAATGTTGTTCTATCTAATCACGTCATCAATCTAGGGGTGAGGACCATTTACCACAGCACTGAGAGCGATGGCCGGTGTAATAAAGCGCAGCCCCAAAGAACAATTCATGCCGACAACTAAGCATGTAATTTGTTCAATTTAATTCAAATGAGGCTGAGAATCGCATTATATGCACCCCATTTGCCGTAACGTGTCAATTTCAAATTTCTGTTCTTTTTTCCGCTTTGGCAGGTACTCGAATTGTTCGCTTCGGTGTATTTATCTGCGCGATTAAAGTGATAAAATTTTACCAAAATCTGTTCAAATCAGAATATTTCATTTGTTTAAAAAAATAACAAACATGTTTGTTACACTTAGAAAATGAATACAATTATAATATATGAACCAAAGATATAAATAATGAAAATGTCCAGGTCTCTGATATAAACTGAAAACAGATACAGAATAAAGTTTGTTCTCCGTATCTTATTTGAACATGGTAGCTTTTATTTGTAACTTTCCAGCCTTACCCTCTGATTACGATTCCAGCGTTTTCTCAGGTCTCAGACATTACTGCTAAAAGTCGGTCTCGGAATTAAGCGACTTGAATTTCGTGGGCAACGTATGTCGGTTACCATCTTTCAATGTCCGATCGGTTATAAAACTTCGTTGAATGATACTTAAACCAAATCAATTAAATTCCAGTAAAACTGGGTAATTAATTATTTGCCGCAAATATAAAAGGTTCACAAGCTAAGCAAATAAAAGTTCACTCTGCATGACACAGTATGTTTGTAACGTTCAAAAGCGTATTTTCGTTCTTCGAGTTTCGCTCGAGATGAAATATGCTCGATAAATTTGGGAAATTACGATCTATGTATTCTATCTGGAAATAAATCTCAAAAACACCTTTTAACCTTAGATCATAACATTTGTAACCGATTAATATGTCTCGTCTGTTAAAAAAAGCACCCCCCCCCAAAAAAAAAAAAATACGAAACACACTCACACACACACAAAACAAACAAAAAATTCAAAAAGAAGAAGAAGAAACAAACAAATAAATAAATAAATGGCAACTTGAAAATGTGAACAAGCGTGCTTAAATCCTTTATTCGAAAGGCAAAACAACAGAAATAACCAAAAATCCATTTTTCTTTTCCTAATTATATAAAGTAGAAGAATCGTTCTATTGATTCGGTTGTTTGTAATCTTTAATTGAAGACGGAGGATGTTTATGCTTTGGTCCTCGATGACAACA